AATACTAAGTTGCTATAATTTACTTCTATTCGAACAGCCAACAATGGGCGCAGCTGCCGTTAATAAAGGCTAAAAATTTGAATACGCGAGTAACCACTCCCTTAAACGCAGATGAGTCAGGATAACATTGGATTATAAGACAAAAGCCAAAAGACTCCATTCAAATCCTGCCTTTTTGAGGGATAACGCTGTGGATAGTGTGACTTCCTCTTGTGCTGCCAAATTTTTAGTTGAATAATCGACTTTATGTGCGCGCTCCGACACTGCGAGAGACGTTAACCAGCAGGCGTCCTTTGAATGTTACGTGACACAAATTGATAAACTTCGTGAATTTTTGCTGAACACATGCGTATGCGTCATTGTTCAATAGTTCTTCACTAATATCTGCTTCTTCTTGAATGTGCATGTAAATTTTCTAAATTTTCAACTTTTGGGAATTTAGCATTAATAAATGTTTCAGTTCGGTTAACTAGATTGTTTCTGGCTACACTCCGATATCAAACAGTTCAAAAAGCGTTGTTATCTTTTCATCTGGATCGGTCAATACTTCTTAGATTTCGGTTAATCGATTTGAATGAGCACTGCGGATCCTGCTGTGCGTGAGTATTCTATTTTGTTAATTTCTTTGATTTTTTTAAAACCTACTCCACCCCTTCTAAGACTCCATAGACTGTGAATGTGATACTATGATTAATTTAGGTCCAACAGAAAGTTTCTCTTTGCAATTGATTATTTTGTTTTTGATCATGACAAGTGATGCTTTCGAACAAAAGATAACATTTGAAAGATATTTGTTTAATACTTCTTTTTGTAATTCATCGCTCAAGAGGTAGTCCGCATTTAATAAGCGCCTGACATTATGTTACACCGAGAATACATCATACTTACGCTGCAAACGGAAATGCTTTTGTTAAGGATTTGTGATGAGGTATTGATGAAATCAGCACAAGTTTAAAAGAGACAATTACTTGGAGTACCAACAATACTTGAACAATTTTGATTTAAGTCAGCTTTTTGCTCCTTGCAAATTTATCAGTTGATTTCAGCTGGAAGTGCTGATTCATCTCCTGGCGATGTCGCTGAAGACTGGGAAAATGATGGGGCAAGCGAGAGCATGGAAAAGCAACTTACTGAACGGTTCAAGCAGGTAAAGGTCATGTTTGTTATTTCAAAATCTTTTTATTAATTCCAGTAAATTTTCATAACTAAAGTTAATTTATCTTTACTGAACAGAAGGCTTGAATATCTATTAATGATGTTGAAGGAAGTACTAAGTTATCTTCTTTCGGAATTCTCGAAATTGTTTTGAGTAATTATTGGGCTTCATTTATCCGTAAAGATATAACCAGTATTTGCGTTATTTTTCATGCGTAAGTCATAACGCGAGATATGGAGCATCCTCTATAAAAACTTATCGATTGCTTTGCACTTTGGCGTCTTTCTTGAACGTGGGTTTTATTTGCTTTGACTAGTATAAGTTTAGGAGGATATATTCAAATCAGTCAGATTTAGCGAAACATCTATTCGCGCTAAGCATGCTTCGAAGTCAACTTGCAAATCTGTTGATGTACCTGCCATGTCTAGAGCGTCTGCATCATTTCCACCTTAGCGATCTAAATTTGGGTGTAAATTTACCTGATGAATAAGTTTTTTTAGCAGTGTTGTATCGATTAAAATTAATGCTAAGAAGTACTCTTTATCGTTTTGCAGTAAATATAGTTTTGCGACTCTTACAAAAAACTGCAGTTTGAAGAATGATGTCTTGCATCCCAATCGGTCAGGTAAAATATGACTTCCTAGCTGTAGGGCCAAAGTGGATATCATACTATAGAAAACATTATTATCAGAACGCGTGACCACTTCAACATTTTCCATACAAATTGGCGAACGAATTAGGAGTTCACATGAACGTCTCATCCATTTTCACATATTTTGTATCACGCATAACGATTTTGGAAGTTGGACACAATACTTCAGCAAACGTGTCAGACCTAGACAGTGGCATGCACTTTCTGCCCTAGAGAAAGTGTACTTTCTAATTTGGATTTCCTCTACTTCAGTTTATTTGGCATGAAATTGATAGAATAGCACGTTTGGCTTACCCCGCCCCGAGTTATCGCAAGAATCTGGGAGATTCATTGATGATGTTTAGCTAGCATGAATCTTTTTTCCCTAATCATATGTTAGTAATTTCAATAAGCACTTTGGGATTAGACATAAAATTGACTGGTAGTTTTGATGACAAAGATTGTGTTTAATAGTTTAGGTACATTTTGTTTTAGGTCCGTATCCTTCAAAGAGCTCAGGCCGATAAAGAAGCGCGTAAAGAAAAGGCAGCGAAAAGCCTGGAGGAGGCCCGGTTAAAGTATGTAGTTTTTTTTACTCTATCAGTAACTTTTTCGACTGTCATTCTTATAGTCCGTCGTTGTTACCCACGCCATCAGTTGTGGCTGCAGGCCCTGGAGGTGTCCCTCCCGCTCCTGTTAGGATTTTGAGACGTCCAGAGAGCAGCGAAAAGTTACGAGAAGAAAAGTACCTGGCTCAACGAGCTAAAGCAGAAGAAGCAGCTAGGAATCAGTTAACACCAGAAGTAAGCATTTTCTCTTAATTTTGTACTAAACTTACGTGTGCTGAGCTATGCACCGAGTGCGTCCCATACTGCCGGTTGGCAATAGCTATCGTACAGTCCGCCACCCGCCATGTCTGCTGATTATCTCTTTTTGTAGCAAAAAGAAGCGCTGTACGTGAAAGCTCGTGATCGTATTTTGGGGCCTGAGTACAAACCGGATAATTCACAGTGTGCACAGAATGTGGCCGTTGTGAACAGGTAGGCTTATCAGAGAATATAAATGAGTATTGTTTTTACCCAATTGAATGAATTTGAAATGCAGGTGGTCTTAACGGCCCGGCTTACTTTACACCTTTTCGCTAATTATTAAATTAATTCTGATTGTAGTATTTCGAAAAAAGCATGAGTTGATTTTGTCATGCATGTCAATTTGCCCCATTATTTCAGAAGCAAATCGCCCGAACAGATTCGTGTGCCCCGTTTCACCGACTTGCCTCTAGCAGCACCGCCACTCGATGGCTCATTGGGTGGTTCAATCATGATAACCTCCATGGGCAATATTGCTCCGTCCGCCATGCCTCCTATGCAGTCAAAGCAACAGACATCACAACAGAAGCCGGTCTCACTACTAGCAATGTCCAGCCCACCGGTAGGACTGCCTATTCAGCAGCCGAATGCCATTGGTCAGCAAGTTGATGTGAATGGTCAACAGCAACCGTGCATGGTCACTCAACCGCCTCCGTCACAACAAGCGATGAATGCATATCCACATTATGTGATCGCACAGTCTCAACAGCCCATACCATACGCTATGACCTTAGGAGGAAAGCAGGTTGCTCGAATTTACCCTTTAACTCGTAGCCAATGCTTTCTACGTGTTGTCCAGGGACTTAATTGAATTTATTTCTACGAGTCGAATTGTACAGTTACGTCTGAAGATACGTGAGAGAAAATCTGGATATGTGGTTGATCAGAGGGCTCGTATTTAGCTTTTTGTTTACCAAGCACAAACTTCCCCCTTGAGACCTCCACTTTAGAAATTATAACACGCATTTCAAATTTCAACCACTTTTTTGCTAGAAATATTTGCCTAGAATTTGATTCTTGCTGTGAAAAGTAGCTTTAAAATTATAAAGCACCTTCTAGTAACAGCTTAGATTTTTTTGTTGAAAAAACTGTTTTAATTATCAACTTAGACGATGGTTCCGCCGTACATTGATACAACTCGTCCACCTCCGGCGATGGCTATCCCATCCATGGCTGTAAATCCTCAGATGCAAATGCCTGCAGGGGGTATGCCCGTAGCTCCTCCTCCAGGGATAAGACAAAGTTACTACAACCCTCAGGGTGTGGTACCCAATCCTGCTCAATTTCAAATACGCCACGGCTTGTCTCAACAGCAGCAACAATCTGGTTTAACGTATGGGTGAGTCCTGGCTCTTTCTAATTATCGTGCTGATTTGTAAATATCCAGGCCTAATGTCATGTCAATATATCCACCCGGAACTTTGACAGCGGCTATGCGTGGTACAGTCGAATCAAGTTGCAACGCTCCGGTGGTAGTTAGCAGTGTTTCGCACTCACGGAAAGGAAGGAGAAGCCGGAATAAGCGGGAAAATCAGTGAACCGTCCTGTTTTGGATGTTAATCTTACAAGGTGATCACTCCGAGAATCTCTTTTTAATGCATAGGTCTATCATTTTCCCATGTAGTATTATATACGAGTCTACTGGCGTATCGTTTTCGGGGTTGATTCTTTTTTCTTTCTATTTGAACATGGTGTGTGTATCCCTCTGGCAACCAAATACGATGCGGGTGTTACCATCTTTCATGACTGTCATTAAGTCTATCGATACAGTTTGATATATGGCGGTGACAGCAGCATGTG